AGGAAGCCGGCGGCTGCTGACGCCCGCGCCACCGCCGACAGCCGCGGACACGCTTGCCCGTCCGGCTCCCTCCGTCGCTGCCTCCGCTTCGTCTTCGCGGCCACAGACGAAAGGATGTAACCCTTGCCGGAAACCTCAGACAGCAGGTGTCCGCCGTCGCCGCCGCCGCCGCCCTTCTCCACCGGCTTCACGGCCGCGCCAGGCGGAGGGGCAGCCCTGCTCCGCGTTCTTCCTCCTCCCCATACACGGTAAGGCCTTCAATCCCTGTTCTCTTTCACCTTTCTATCTTCTGCCTTTACGTCGCTTGATGGAATGCCAAACCAAAAAAAAAAAATGAAGGAAAAAAAATGGATGCTGCCTATACAGCCGTCACCTGCACAACCAAACTTTCAGTGTGTCAGTATGCAATTAGTCCTTGCATGTTTTTCCATCATATGACCAAATTCCGTTCTTTGTTTACAACAGATATGGCGCGTGCAGAGGGTTGTCCATTACGACTGAACTCAGGATATGCTTCTCGAAGAGAATAAGGTACATTCCCATATTTTAGCAAAGAAACAAGATTTCGAGACATTACACTATTCTTATTTTCCTTGCGTGTGTTTTTTTTTTTCTCCTAACCATACTTCTTTTGTATCTTCATAACCTGATTATTGGTTATACATATTCATTCTCATCTGATCCTTTTCAGGATAGCAATAGGTATAAGTAGTATCGAATGCAGCTAACAGTCTAACACCAGGCAATGACCCACTTATACTCCACAGGTACTTCCGTTCCTTATTCCTTTCAAAGTCATCGGGTTATCTCTTTTACTACCATTCACCCACATCTAACAGTGTGTTCAGGTCGTCTAGATACTTCGAGGCAATTCCCATAGGTGCCTACCCACGTCCCCTAAAATGTGTTTTCCAAACTTTGGGCAATGTTCCACATTCAAGATTCTATATTGTCTATCCTGTTGTTTGCCTCTAAATGATTATTTGGGCTTCAGTGATTGAGTTCACCTGAAATGCATGTTTCAACTGATTACATACACCTGCCCGTGGTTTTCTAATTTATCTAATGAAAAGGCTGTTTAGGCCTTGGTTGACATAATGCATCAATCAAAATTCTAAGATTTGTTATTGTTATGGTATATATTATATTCTGGGTCTCTGATAGTGATGTACAGAAACATTGTAGCTAATAAGGTAGATGATAGGTTGATTTTTTTATCTTCATTCCACCCTTTTATGCAGTCCAAATTTTGGCACCAAAGCTTTGTCTTCTCATGTGCTTGCTATAGTAGACTTCATAGGTCTCTTTTCAAGAACAAAATTTCCTCTAATATAATACATGCTTCTGTTGGTTAATACTGTCTCATTCTTCGACGTGCACAGGACTGGTGAGTTCAAATTAGATTACGACCAAGATCAGTTGCATCAGATATTTTTTGTTTGGGCAATGTGGACTGCCATCTAAAATATACACAATAGGCAGATACCTCATTTCCTGTATGTACCATTTTATCTGCTATATTTATCCATGAACTCACACTGCAATACATGGTCAAATATTTATGTGCTTATTGTTTGCTAATTGATATTTATCTCATGTCTTACCCTCTTATCCTACAGTGCCTTTAATTTGCCAGATGTCTTGCGTAGAATTTATACCAGATTTGCTAAGCATGAGGAAGAATTCAAGAAGTATTTTTAGTTTTGGAACAACCGCATTGTATTTTATTATGAGAACATTGTACAATGTGACCAATTCTCAGAGGTGCCAATATTTAAGGATACTAACATGTGTAATATATTTGACTGTTTTTATCAGTAAACTTATATGTGTCAAAGCTAACATTACTGTATGTTGGGCCAGTGGTATGCTACGAAAATCAAGCAGAATACCCTCTTCATGCATTTTTGTGTGGAGATTTTTAGTTTCAATGCAATTCATGTGCTACAACCAAGGTATGAATCTGATGAAAAACATAAGGCTCATGTATATAAAAGTGGCCTTCAGTAACAGACATTTTCTGCTTTCCTACGATTCAAAACTGCTCCTATGATTCAGAGCTTGCTAGCCCGCGCAGTTCGGGTTCCAGCTAGTTCTCTTATATTTTTGGAAACACAAGAAAGTGAGTCCCACACAAACTTGGGGCGGAAGTTCAGTAGCGAGTTCTTGCAGTGATGAGGCCATAACGGGGTACGCATGTCAGCAGTGTCATGTACTCATGTAGTAGTTGAGGATGACTGCTGTAAATGTTTTTGTGGACCTGGATGCCCACCTTGACTTAGTCGATGTTGTCTCCATAAATTTAGTTGAGGATGATGCGGATCGCCTATGGCCTGCGCACTAACTCCTTGGTTGATCTGTCCTAAACCTCCTTGTTCGTTCGTCACTGCCTTTGGATCATTGACGCGAAAACTTGCTTGACCTTAATCACTCAGCGTTAGCCACCATATCGCATCCAATACCTACACATCACAAACCAAGAGATACATTTCCTCCACACAACACACTCATCAACTCAACATCTCTGATTAGTCCACCATAGTCAATCTCAATTGAACACAACCAAAAGGCTCATACCATCTTATCAATTACTCATCATAACATAGACAGGGACACACCATCTCACAAGTTGTTTGTGAAATTCAAAGTCATGTGGGCAGTTTCCCCCAACCCCCAGTTAGTCTGTCTATTCTTCTGGAGCCTCTTGCAAATGCAGGAATACAGATAAAATTTTGTTCCGTTGAAAACTTCACTTCTTCTTCTTTTTTTTTAAAATGGCACCAATGTATAATACTGAGAAATATTTATCTTGGTGTTCTAGTCCCAACAGGCAACACCCTAGTGAAAGGAACATTAAGTTGTTTTTCTAGCGGGCTATGCCTATATGGAGATTACCAATATACCATTCCCTATCCTATCTGTCTTTTTCATCCTCTTGTTTTCTTGTTTATTTTATCTTTATGTTGTCATCATATGCTGACTAATGACTAATCATCTTGTCCCTACTCCAATGGCATCCACCTTCCAACCACAAGGCATCACCTCGAAAGAAATGTGGAGTAGGAACCTAACAAGGAAGTACTACTGCAAAGTGCAAGCTCTTGATCGGAAGCAATGGATGCTGCTCCGGCGACATTGGCGGCTGCAGTTGCCGTCGTCCTCGCGGTTGTAGCATCGGTCCCCGTACTGCTCCGTCTCCTCTCTGCCAGCGCCGGCGGCAAGAAGACGAATCCGAAAGCACCCCTGCCTCCGGGCTCATTCGGTCTGCCTTTCATCGGGCAGACGCTGAGCCTGGTCCGCGCCCTCCGGGCCAACACCGCCGACGACTGGCTCCGGCGGTGTGTGCCACGTACGGGTCCGTGTCGCGGCTGCGCCTCTTCGGCTGTCCGACGGCCTTCCTTGTCGGCACCTCCGCCAACAAGTTCATCTTCACCAGCGCCGGAGTGACCGCCAAGACCCCGAGTCCTTCGCCCGGATGGTGGGCCGCCGGACGATCATGGACGTGGTCGGCGACGAGCACCGCCGTGTCAGGGCCATGATGGTGCAGTTCCTCAGGGTGGATGCCGTCAAGAGGCACGTCGCCAGCATGGACGGCGAGGTCCGGCGCCACCTCGACGCCGAGTGGCGCGGCCGGGGTACCGTGGCCGTGATGCCGTCCATGAAGTCGCTCACCTTCGATGTCATGTGCACCGCCATCTTCGGCCTCAGGACGGGCGCCGTCCGCCGGGAGCTTTGGACGGAGTTCCAGGAGCTGGTGAGGGGCATCTGGGCGGTCCCGGTGAACCTGCCCTTCTCCACATACAGCCGGTGCCTCGCCGCGAGCCAGCGTGGGCGGCGCGCCGTCGCCGGGGTCATCCAGGAGAGGAGGGCCAAGCTGGAGCGCGGGGAGAGCTCGCCGGCCAGCGACGTTGTCAGCCTCATGCTCTCGGAGGGCCTGCCTGACGAGGAGATCATCGATAACGTCATGTTTCTCATGGTCGCCGCGCACGACACCACCGCCGCCCTCCTCACCTTCCTCATCCAGCAGCTCGACGCCGACAAGGACGCCTACGACAAAGTTGTCCAGGGTAATTCCCTTCATCATAGCTAAGCTCTAGCATACACGCTGATGGGTTGTTCTAATCCATGGACGATACAATCCGATCAGAGCAAGAAGAGATTGCGCGGAGCAAGGCGGCCGGGGAGGCTCTGTCGTGGGAGGACCTCGGCAAGATGCGGTACACCTGGGCGGCGGCGCTGGAGACGCTGCGGATGGTGCCTCCGGTGTTCACCATGATGAGGAAGACGGTGGAGGACGTCGAGTACGGCGGCTACCTCATACCCAAGGGCTGGCAGGTGATCCACGCGGCCAACATGACGCAGTGGGACCCGGCCATCTTCCCGGAGCCCGGCAGGTTCGATCCGGCTCGGTTCGAGAACGCGTCGGCGGTGCCGCCCTTCGCCTTCGTGCCCTTCGGCGGCGGCGCGCGCGTCTGCCCCGGGAACGAGTTCGCCAGGGTGGAGACGCTGGTGGCCGTGCACCACATCGTGACGCGCTTCAGGTGGAAGCTCGCCGCCGGCTGCGACCGCAGCTTCTCCAGGTTCCCGCTGCCGTACCCGTCTCAGGGCCTCCTCATCGACATCGAACCTATTCAGAAATGAATGCTCGCTCGGTTGAGCAATCGCCTTGTAAAGTTCAGTCGCAGCCATAGTTCACTTTGCTGGATGTACATACCCACGAGGCATGATGCAGGTTTACTGGCTGTGAATTTGCAGGATAATTTTGGGTTACTTGGCAATAATTAAGCCACTAACCTGAAACTGAACCATCCGAATCTCCAGTTATATTTTGGGTTTGCTCGATGTACAAAAGCTAACTGAATTTTACATACAGAGAAGAATCCTAGTCACCCCAAAATTTACAAAATGTACAGCACAGCTAACTTACTTTTTTTTCATTTTTCACTATGTCAAACGCCCACTCTAGTGGCTTTCTGCACATAGAGCAAACGCAATTTGTTTCAGTTCTGGCACCTACTGTTTTTGGACAAGAATAGGTACCGGAATCTTGAATCAAATGGGATGACGCTGAAACTGCGCACTCCAAGAAGGCGTTGCTTATGCGACGATGATGTATCTTGGATTGCAGCGACTTGGTCTAGTGTTAGATGACGGCAGATCCAGTCGGCAAGCAGAGAGTCCTCCACAATGCCTTTGGCATAACTCTGCAGTAACTTGGGGACTATAAGCTCTCCCTTGTCATTTATACCAACTGATGCTCGGATGTAGTCTCTCATTGATTCCTGAAGCTCAGCTCGAACATTTTCAGCAGAGAAAATCCTTACCTGGTTGATAGGAAGTCATCATTTCCAAAATGGTAATAGGGAAAGAATATGGTTCAAGTATTATGGCACCTTTACTGTGCACACTGGAAACAGAATTTCTTGTTAACAGAGTTCCATTGTTACCCATTCACTTACCGCAGGTGAAGAGAACATCCCAGAACAGAGTGCAAAGAGAACACGGGGCTCAGTATCATCGATTGAATATTTCTTGAGATTCTCTGATGTTTTAAATTTGTGAAGGGCCAGCATCAAGGACTGAAAAGGAGGAAAATAGTAAGATGGATTTTCAACTTGTATGATCAATGGAGGGACCTGGAAATGAGGAACAGAGTTATACGAGTTGTGGCCGGTGCACGGGAGTCTTCATCTTCAGAATCACAAACTCTATTTCAGTTGCACTGACAGGCTGCCCACCGATCGTGTAACAGGCCTGTAACATTATCACTAGCTTGTCAAAATACTATTTCTTTAAATTTCAGAGAAAGTTATAAACCAAAGCGACATTTCATCAAACCTTTTGCATTAGTGCGAAAAGCTTAATGTCATTTTCAGGGACACCGTATGCCAAATAAGCCTAGTAAAGTTCAAGTAAACATGCACGGTGTTCAGGGTGCAATACTATTTTGACAATAATGAACGAAAGAAAACGTCAACTTCTATCTCTAACAAAGTAACTTATTGGCATTCTTAAAAAGGTGATAGATCATACTTACATGCATTATTAATGCATTGTACAGGTTAATCCAAAATGCTAACCGTTCATCACAGTTCATACAAGAAGGGTCAACCTTTGATAGGTGCTCCACAAGAAATCTGCAAAAGGAGAAAGGGAGAAATAGTTATTACCGCTTACAAGTAAATTGTAGTGCTTCTTAGTTGTAAAATTTTCAGCATTCGATGTGTTAATTATAATCAATAACTGAAGGCAAGTGTTTAGCTGGAAACCTGAACTTTTTCAGAGCTCCAGATGCATATTCAAGTTGTTCATTGCCAATATACATCCAAGACACTTCAGCTACTGAACAATAGCTTCCAATGTCTCTCCGTGCTTCCTTCCCATTAACATTGTATGGGTCAAAGTTTCTGATTTCATCAAGAATACCATCATCATGGTTCAAGTCAATTGAAGGACTGCGCAGCACTGAGGCTATTACAGATGAATCCGACAAAGTAGTCAATGTTGAACCAGACAGACGTTCTGCTGATGAAGATGAATTAGCAAAAGGCTCCTCTGGTGATATCTTGGAAGATGTAGATAAATGAAGGAAGATATCTTTCATGGAGCGCACCATCTCTTCAGAGAGCTGATTTGGATTAATCCACAAATTTCCACTCATGTTGCCTTTCTTCAAATTTGGCTGGCTAAATGGTAACACATCTATCTTCTGATCTTCTTTGCCTTCTTTTTCCATAGAGCATGCCTCTTGCATCTGCAGGGATACAACTAGATTTTTCTTAACTGAAAACTTAATTTTCTTAGGTCCCAAGATGTGCATTTAAAACTAAGAAATATGAATGCAGTGCAGAGTAGGACCTCTTCATCTCGGTGTTCCAACAGTCCAGTTAAAGAAACATCTTGGTGCTTTTCTAACAGCATATTTAGAGATACCCGTTCTCCATCTTCAGCGTCTTTTTCATCATCCTGCTGATCTTCAGGTTCAGTTGAAAAATCTTGTTCGACTGGGTGATAATCTCTGAATCTCAAATCTCTTAACATTTGTTCGGGCTTAGAAAATTTGACAAAGAAACAGTCACTAATTTCATAGTAAAAAAAGCGTAATTATAAAAAGAGATTTAAACTTTGTGAAGATAACTTACTTCTCGCCCTGTACAATCGCAAGCTGTGGAGGGTTGGCAATCTGATGCTCTAGGTAGCAAGCATCCTGGCTTATTTTCTGCAAGTAGCCTTTCATTCCTTGCATGACATAACTGGTAATGCAGGTGGTTTAGATCCTCTTCAAGCTTTGTGATAGCGATTTCCACAGAGGATAAGCTAATTAATAGCTCATGTGCCTTTAAAAGGGATAGGATATCATAAGATTGCTGGGTCCATGACGAGTGTCACAAACAAATGAATACATTAATACTCTTATCTAAAGTGTGCACCTTGTCTGGAAGCTTTATAGACGACTTAAGTATCAGTGCCGCATTATATGTAATGGCATCTGCCAACACCAGATGCAAATCAATCTCTTCTTGGAGTTGCCTTTGCAATTTCTTAACCTGTACAGGTATGTCAAGATCAGAGTATTACACACTTAGTACACAATCACATCTGGGATACCTGCTTTTTGTTCTTTTGAACTTGCAAAAAAATAATCTCCTGTCATAGAAGCTATTCAAGCTTTCCTTATCAAAGGTGTCCATGAAAAATTGCTTGAACCACAGTGATGCTATTACTGATGAAGTTAAAGGCACATGGGAAGGCATGAAAAACAAAAAATGCACATTATTTTAACGAACTTCATATAATCAGGGTACAAATTTTAGAGAATGGATTTCATCATAGGACCACTCTCATCAGCAATTTTCAATGAATCCGTTTCGCTGAAAAGCCAGGATAAAAAGTACTGTTGGCTGATTTATCGTGAGAAAAAAACACTGTATCATGGCTGATAAGCCAGGCTAATAAGTTCAAGCGAACAGGGCCGAAGCACTGGATATGCCCACCGCCCACCAATATTAGCCAGCTTCCATTTAAAAGGAACAGAGCCCATCACAACTCGAAACAAAGCGGAATTCTTTCAACTGAAAACAGCATGCTACAAAATTCAAAATTGTAGAGTTCAGAAACCATGGAAAACACACTCACTTCCTGCTCGAGCTGCGATCTGTACCGCTGCACGATGCACCTTCGTGCCCCTTCCCTCTTGGCACTACCAATGCTGGTATCATCCTACAAAGAAAACACAAACACCAGACCAGTACCTGCATCAGATTTCACAGATCACCTGAAACAGTTTGGGAACCAATGCAAGAAACGAGGCATTCCATCCGACGATACATCCGAGGCAGGAGAGCGACAACTCCACAAGTACAAGCAGTGAAGAACTATTTTTTTTGGTGCCAAACAGTGAAGAACTAGCACAAAGGGAAAGCGACGATTCATCTGGTCTGGGCCCCTCTCGAACACGGAACGCGAAGCAATCAGACAGCTCGTCTGGAGCTGATGCTACCTCACTACCCTACCCGATGCACAAGACAACACCGCAGATTCTTGCCAATGTTTTTGAGCGCAACAAAAAACAATCCTCGAACGATGAACCCAAGTTGCACAGAAATTGCGCGGCTACTGAAAGATGGCAGAAGCGCGAGCGCATGCGAAGGCTTTGATCATAAGGGAAGCGAAAACCAACCCCGGAGCAGGTGGTCGACGCCGACGCCGACGCGTCGCCGGTCCCCGGGTCCGCCGAGGCGGCGCCGGGTCTCCTCCGGCCGCCGGCCATCCTCCGCACCGCCCTCTGGATCGTCCCACCGCCCCTGCACACACGCAGACGAAAGGAGCCAACTTTGAGCACACTCCAAGACCCAACCCAACGAAGCACACTTGCAAGTTTGAGAGAGAGGGAGAGGGACTGACAGGGTCACGGAGCGCATCTTGTCGGACGCCGCGGCCGCGGCTGCAGCGGCGGCCAGCGCGTCCTCCGCGCGCACGCACAGCATCCAATCCGCGCCCGCCTCCAATTCTTTACTCCCCCTCCTCCGATCCACCCGCGCAGCTAGCCGAGCAGAGCCGGGACAGAGCAAACGACAAGGCGACCGCCGCCGCAGCCGCGGCGCATATGTGTGCACGCACGCACGCACGACACAGCCCGTGGGCAGGCAGGGCAGCCACTGCGCCGCGAGTGGACGGACGGACAGGGAGCCGCCTCAGCTGCGCTGCACACTGTGCTGCCGGCTGCCGCAACTATCTCGGCAGCTCGTGATGACGAGCGAGAAGTGTGGCTATGATGATGATGATGGCTGCCATGACTAGCTCCACTCAACCCGGAGCTAGCTAGCTAGTGCTCCTACGCGAGTAGTAGGCGACGGATGGATGGGCCAGTGAGGGTCAGGGTCAGACCCACGCCATTGACGCCACACCTGTCGCTTCGCTGCGGCAATAATTGCGTTGCCGAGAGACCTGGCGACGCAGGAGGACGGCGTGCGGGTGCGGTTAGCATTGTCAAAAAGCGCAGCGGAGTGGTGGTAGCTAGCTCAGGCTGGTCGGTCCTCTCTTGCTCGGTCGCGCGTGGCCGCCGGGTCCCCCGGGCGCGGCGCAGTGGGAGTGAAGAGGGCGAGGGCGTTGTTGGTGTGCCAGGGGAGCAGAGGGCCGGAGGCTTCGGCAGCTTGCTTCTGCTTGCTTGCGCTTTAAGTGGGTGGGCCGCCCGGGAAGCCGTCAGGACTCAGGTCAGGACGAGAGGACGGACGACGCCGTGCCTTTTTCGCGCTGGAAAAGAAGGAAACGCCGCGCGCGGCATGCATGCATCTGCGTGACTGAAACTTTCCTCCTTCTCGCTCGTCCTTTTCAGTAACCGCCCGCCATGGGTTTTGTGTTTCTGTCTGCGGTCCTGCGGATCGTCGTCGTCAGGAGGATAATGCTGGAGGTGGGGAGGTGAGGACGTGAGGTAGGAGGAGATCTTTATGGCTTTGGTTCGGATCTCGTGTCTTACACATAAAACTTCCGAGGTAGCGACGTCCGTACCACGCGACGCCATCAGGATCTGTGAAATCTTTATGGGTGGGGTGGCTCGTCCAGCTCCAGCAGGATCGGGATCTCCGCCGAGAGTGGAGCGGAGCGCAGCTGCGGAGCTGCAGCGGCAGCCTTGCGCTTGCGCTTGCGCCCGCGGCCCGCGGGCTACGCACGCGCTTTCGCCTGCGTCTTCCCGTTGGTCTCCCGCATCAAAAGATGAGCCGTTTGTTATTTTTTGCCATTCGGCCACCCCCACTAGGAGGAGTAAGCTCTGAGGTCAATGCCAGTTTGTGCTCTGTGACAGTGATGAGTGAGTGACAGTGTTGATCTTGGTCGTGTCATTACACTCTGCCTCCACTGCTACACTGCTACACTGCTCCTCCTCCTTTATTTATTTACCTCCATAAACCCAATCTTGATTGTGGTCTACAGTTAACCAACAGCTCATGAGTCATGGCCGTTTACAGCGTTTGGCAATACCATTCATTTTATTTTTGCTATGAAACTTTAGTTGTACCTTCACTGTTCGGAGCTTTATTAGTCACTGGTCACTCGTTTGATATGAACCACGCCCAAGGATGGCAACGGGTCAGGTGGAGTCTCAGTGCACCGAAAAGCCAAACCCAAAATCGAAACCCGAATTACCCCAAAAACCGATTCGGTGGAAATCTATCACTAAAACCAAACTCATGGATACCAAACCCGAACGGATACCCGAAACCGAATGGATACCAAAACTCATGGATATATATACACATATTCACATGTATAAACAAGAGGCAACAAATAATAAATATTTTCATGAGTCAACTTTAAATAAATTTAATAATCTAAGTAAACAAATTATTATTAGTATATTATAAAACATGAGTTTTAATTCTAAATGATTTATTTCGGATATCCATTGGATATCCACGGGTGGAAAACCAAACCCGAAACCGAACCCGATTGGTTTCGGGGCCCCAAACCTGAAAACCGTGGGTGAAAAACCATCCCCAAACCCGAACCCACAGAACCCGAAACCATGGATATCCGCCCCAAACCCGATCCGTCGCCATCCTTAGCCACGCCTGCAGGAAAGGAAAAGGCTCACAGTCACCTCGTGAAGCTTTATCCGAGCAGAAATTTTAACAATGTAAGGATGTTTGGATTTTAGCAGAGACAAGCAGACATGAACATTTTGGGCGTCAAATCCATCGTCCAGTTTTTGCCAAGACGTTGGCAGAAAAGGTGGGGCTAATTTGAACAAGTCGTAGTAGTAGTAGAAGGATGGAGTAGAACCGAGTATTTTTTTTTCGAGGATACAGATATATACCATACCATGAAACAAGTAAAAGCTGTAATCCACATGTCTATCACCATTTCCATTTTTAGAGAGGAATCACCTAGACCTGTTGAGACATATACTGGAGATATGTTCCGATTGTAGCAAACTCTTGTCAGGCCTAATGAGCTCATGTTTGATTGGAGCTGCACCCACTCCACTACAATTCACGGAGAAAACTAGAAAGCCAGCAATTTAAGACAGACATGGGCCATGGCTGAGGAGCCGAGCCTATTTTCGGCCTGTTCGCTGGTTGGTTTTCTGGACTAATAAGCTCGGTTGGTGCCGGTTCGTTGTGAAAGAAAAACACTATTCGCGCGTGTTCGTTGGTTGGTTTCTGGGCTGATTTGAGCTGGCTGGTGCTGGTTTGTTGTGAGAGAAAAACACTGTTGGCTGGTTGAATAAGCCTGGCTGAAACCAACGAGCGAACAGGGTGATTGGTTGGTTGATAAGCCATAGCTGAAACCAACCAGCGAACATGCTGTTTGACCAGAAAGCTCATCTCCTCTCAACTCTCAAGAGAAAAAGAACACTACAGTGTCCTTAAGTTCCTTAACACTAGATTTTAAGACCGCCTGATCCATGGCTTGATTCACGTCAAAATGCTTTTTCCCCACTACGTCGATATTTAAAAAATGTTTGACTTACAACTTATAAATTGATTTATTTAGGGAAAGAGGAAATATCTATTATGCCAATTATGTTAAAAAGTGAGCAATATAAGTAAATTTTATTAGTCTTAGTACTAAACAATAACATCAGATGCTTATGTCTAATATGATTCTAAATAATGTGTCAATACGGTTGGTGGACTAATTGCAACATAAATTATAGTGAAAACTAAGTTTTTGAGACTTGTCCCTAAACAACAACATAAAAAAAACTAGAGAGAGTATAGGGACCTTGCTCTTGTTGCTCCATGAGTTTTGACGAAGCACTGGTGCACGTTAGGGATGGCATGAAGACTGCTTTCATGGGTCTCGGCACCTATATTGGCATCTCACCATATCTTTAGGCGTATTTTTTAGAGATTAAACTAGCAGTTTTTAGGATTGCACTAATTGTTAAATAAATAAAGTTATTTTTAAAATAATCTAAAAAAAATATGAGAGACATAATAATTAAGTTAAAAGGCCAGCTTAGTTCATTGTCAAATATTACCGCACCTAACCTTAGTTACATTGTCTATCACAGAAAACGTGGCAAGTAAAATTGAAGATATGACGTATGAAATAGGGTGGTAAGAAAGTATATCACGTCATAGTTTCAATAGTAAATCAAATAGTTGCTTAAAAACTTGTGGTGTATTGGCCCCGTTCGACTAGCAGAATTTTAGTTGAAACTGGCTGAAAAACACTGTTCTGGGTGAATTGTTGTGAGAGAAAAACACTATTCCGGCTAAAAAAAAGAAACCGAACAAACCGAATATGGGATAAGCCGAACGGGGCCATTGATGTGACTCTGTTTGTCGACGAACTGAACAGACCTGCGACTGGGGTGTTTGATACTAGGGGACTAAAGTTGAGTTCCATCACATCGGATGTTTAGATGCTAATTAGGAGTATTAAATATATACTAATTAAAAAACAAATTACATAGATAGAGGTTAATTTGCGAGACGAATCTATGAAGCCTAATTAGTCTATGATTTGACAACGTGGTGCTACCGTAAACATATAGTAATCATGGATTAATTAGGCTTAATAGATTTGTCTCGCTAATTAGTCTACTTCTATGCAATTAATTTTATAATTAGCTTATATTTAGTCATCCTAAGCCTCCGAACGTGATATGTGATACTGACAAAACTTTAGCCCAACAACGTAACTCTCGTGAGGCTTGTTGAGGTTGGGCTAGAAGCCAACAATTCAGCAATGCTGAGCAGGCCGGCCCATTTTGACCATCAGTGAACAGATTTTCTTTCTCCAAAAGTTCCACACAAGTGCCACGCTTTAGTCAAAGTCACTGTTCAGCAGCAGTACTCACCACACCAGTCACCTGACCTGACCGGTTGACCCGTATAATGTCGCACGCAGCGACGGTGACGAGGTTCAGAGCAGGAGAGGCCCATGAAGCGGCCACGGCGAGCCCGTTGGTCAGCCCGAGCGGCCTGTGGACCGTGCTCGGGCAGGCCTCGAACGTGGCGCAGCTGGTCGGCGTGGACGCGCTCGGGCTGGTGTCCATGGTCGTGCCGGCCGCGCTGGCGGCGCGCCGTCACCGCGACGCGTGCCGGCGCCTGGCGCAGCACGTGGATATCGTCGGCGGCCTGCTGCGGGAGATGGAGCTCGCCGAGCTGATGCGGCGGGAGGCCACGCGGCGGCCCCTCCAGCAGCTCCATGACGCCCTGCGGCGGTGCTACGCCCTCGTCACGGCGTACCAGGACTGCGGGTACCTCCGCAACCTGTTTCTCGGCGCCCGGATGGCCGAAGAGCTCCGCGCCGTGGAGCAGGAGATCGACATGTTCATCCGCCTCGTCCCGCTTATCGCGCTCGTCGACACTACACATGAACGCCGGGTCACGGCACGCTCGTGTTTTAGCTTGTTGATTACTTTTGGTTGTTCATTCCATATCATGTGAACATGTAATTTGTATTGTTATTAGGAAGAAGAATAGCTTATTCTAGGGCCATTCGTTTTGTTTGTAATCCGATTGAAGTAGCATCTATGAACTGAAAAGTTCTATAAAAAGTTACTACCACTGAATTCATCGAATGTCTTTTATATGTGTGTGTATGATTAATTTTTTTTAAAAAATAAACAGGTTAATCCTAGAGATAGATGACATCAGTAATACTTGTTGACTTCCAAGTCTTTGTCTACCAGCAGGCTGCTGAAGCTGTGCCAGTTCTAATCATGAATGGGTCAAGCCATCATCACGTCAGGTTACATTTTGTTTAAATAAATGTAGTCGATTAAAAGTCAGCAAATTAATTCCTCGCATATCAAAATTCAAATCTATGTCATGCCTTTGAAGAAATTGGCATTTTGGCATAATGATCAGATTTCCAATAAGTGTTGAGGACTTCACCAGAATACAAGTTCAAGGAGCTCCTAAAATTTATAATGTTGCAAAACAATCGTTTGCAGGTAGGTAGTTACCTCTATGATAGTATGATTTCTTATCCTCTTAGTCGTGGTCTAAAAAAATATCAAGAGACTGAAATTTTCATTTCAATGTTATCGCTTCAAGAATCTCTAATGCTTTAACTGTTGTTGATACTCCATGCTTTTGAACATACTGCAATGGAGAGAATAAAAGTGCTCGTGTGACTAATTTAATAAACTTGTACCATTTTCCTGTACCACACAGAATTTCATGCATCATATAGAAAGAAAATAAGCATGAATCATGGAAGAGCACTAAGCTAACTAGTAGTACTAACATATATTATACATATGCAAACTCTAACCTGAAGTCCTACACTTGTCTTCGGATATGATGATCTATCAAAGAAGCTTGATTGTTCTCACTGTACTTCTTTATTAGCTTAACCAGATGAATGCTGCAGTTCCACCGGTGACTAGGATATACTATCCATAATTTCAGGAGCAATGGACTTGCAAGGACAGAAGATTCTGGACACTGAAGAACTGTTGGAGCTTTGTACCCATACTGAAGAGAGTTGCTCAGGATTCAGAAAGTTTGAATTCTCTCAGATTGTCAACGCTACCGACACATTCTCAGAGGATAGAAACGTTGGGTGGGGTGGTTTTGCTAAAGTTTACAAGGTAATTATAACCCCAAATAGAATGAACTAACAAAATGAATGCTTGTAAGCATTATCTTTCAAATAAGTGATACTCTAGTAGTCTATTTTGACATAATATAGTTCAAGCTTTATTTATTAGTAAACACTGCAGGGTGAGTTGCCTGATGGACTCATGATTGCCGTCAAAAGGTTGAATGAACATGCGGCAGTATATGATTTCACCAATGAATTTCTACTAGCGAGGCTTGAGCATATCAATCTAGTTAGGCTGTTGGGGTGGTGCATCCATGGGAAAGAAAGAATTCTGGTGTATGAGCTCATGCACAAAGGTGGCCTGCACCAATTCATCTTTGGTATGTTTTCCTATAACCAAAGTTATTCTTCAAAACATACTTCACTTGATTCCTTTCATTATCTCTAAAACCATTCTGATCAAATGAAAGACTTGAATAACTCCAATTTTAGTTAATTCCTTCTTGCCTCAGCTGATCTGAATTTATTGTCGTTTGATTCAGAATAGCTTAAAATTGTAAACAAAAGGATTCTTAATATGCTTGTTGCCTTAACATTTTGCAGACAAAGTAAAGGGGCCATTGCTTGACTGGTCTAAGCGACTTAATATAATTAAAGGATTAGCAGAGGGACTTGTTTACTTACACAAGCACTCCAAGTTTTGCATTGTCCATAGGGACCTGAAACCAGAAAATGTCCTCCTGGATCATGGCATGAACCCAAAGATTTCGGATCAGCTGTAACTCTGAGTTCAGATGCATCAGAAGGGCATACAAGTAGGGTTGTGGGAACTTGGTAAGCAATTCACAACATTGATTGTAACAGGACTATGTGCAAAACAATTTTGTTCTTGTGCACTGATGCCACTCTCCTGATTGTTTATTCAGTGGTTACAAAGCTCCAGAGTATGCATCTCGAGGCATTTATTCAGTCAGGTCTGATGTTTTTAGCTTTGGGGTGTTGGCTTTAGTGGTCATCAGTGGGCGAAAGAATATCATACTGGAGCATCAAGGAGACACTGTTGGTAACCTCGTAAGAGATGTGAGTGATCCAACTTCTGAAATGTTGAATATTTGCTTAGTTTCATCCTCTCCATATTTATTTCAAAACCGGGCATACATATGTGAGTTTGGATTTACACTATAAAATCTTTGCTGACAGCTAAACATGTGTTTCAGGCATGGCAGTTGTGGCATGATGGAAGGCTACATGAGCTTGTAGATCCAATATTAGGTGATGGATTTGAACTTGCTGAGGTAAAGCAGTACGCTCAGGTGGCACTACTCTGCACTCAGGAAGATCCAGCAGATCGCCCCACCATGTCAGACGTTACTGCACTCCTAAACTTTGAAAGCATAAGCCTATTGCCGGATCCTAAGCAGCCATCTGAGCTGAACAATGGTGGTGCTACTGGCGACAAATTATCGACGTATGTTCATCAATCAAGTAGAACCATAAACATAACCATCACAAGCTCAGCTCCAGTATCAACTAGGATCTGCATCATTGTGGAGCCAGAGGCTTGAAATGTTCAAAATGATTTTAAAAACAGAGAATCCAGAATGTTTTCTCTTTGTGTAAATGATTTGTTTTGAACGAAATCTTTGTGTAAATAACATTATTTATTACTTTGAGAATATTACGGTATTTTGTTTTACTTCACCTCGATCGAGGCTCTGCTAGAGCTCGTTTTGGTGTTTGCCTTGTCTTTTTGCTTTTTTAAAAGGATTAAAACTGGCAAGCTAAGACTTTTTCGCGAATGCGCCTGAGCGTGTATTTCGTTAAGAAGAGAGCAAGCACGATTTTTTAGCAGCCTAGAAACAGGAACATGGCTCACGTTCCCGTTCCCATGTTCCACGTTCCAGGAACGTCTGCGTTCAAGGAACGGGAACGTTCCGGAAACGGAAACGGGAACAGGAACATGGCTGCTAAGAGCACGACCACAAGATTCAAAACGAGCTCAGCCTCTTGTCAACAGGGAAAAAACTGATCTCAATTCCACACTTAGTCAAAGTCGACGTCCACACTAACCTACTCACCTAGACCATATAATTGGGTTCGTCAATAGCGGCGACCAGGTCCGGGCAGAAGAGGCGGTGGTGAGCACGGCAGGAAGCGGCCATGGCAGGCCTCTTGGACAGCTCGAGCGGCCTGTGGACCGTGCTCGGGCAGGCCTCGAACGTGGCGCAGCTGGTCGGCGTCGACGCGCTCGGGCTGGTGTCCATGGTCGTGCAGGCCGCGTTGGCTGCGCGCCGCCACCGCGACGCGTGCCGGCGCCTGGCGCAGCACGTGGAGGTCGTCGGCGGCCTGCTGCAGGAGCTGGAGGTCGCCGAGCTGATGCGGCGGGAGGTCACGCGGCGGCCGCTCGAGCAGCTCCAGGGCGCACTGCGACGGTGCTACGCGCTCGTCACGGCGTGCCAGGACTGCGGGTACCTCCGCAGCCTGTTCCTCGGCGCCCGGATGGCCGACGAGCTCCGCGCTGCGGAGAAGGAGATCGACATGTTCATCCGCTTAGTCCCACTTATCGCCCTCGTCGACAGTACGCATGATCGCAATGCCAAGGTATGCGTGTTTTACCTTGCTGATTAGTAAGTACTACTTATGAGGTGGCTTCTTGATTTGGTACTTCAGTTCATATCTTGTATGTATGAGGTCAAGAAGAAGAACTGATTTGAAGGAGATTATTTTGACCTCTCTGTAATCCCATCCCAAATTCTCCTTTCAGTTGACCCTAGGAAGTAGGAATTATGGGTGTGAATTTGAGTCCAATAGTCGTTGCATATGCAAATGAAACAGTTTTATATTAACTGCTATAGTTCTCAACTGATCAAATGGCTTACTGTTCAATCACTCTCAATTGTACATCTGTAGCATTTGTAAATTTTAACTGTTCCGTTCGTTAAGTTTTCTTTCTATCGTTGTCCAGCAGACTGCCGAGGGAGAACCAGGTCTAATCACGAATGGTTCAAACCATCATGTCAGGTGAGATTATTTTTAATGTAGTGGATAATACTCAGCAAGTGATTGCTCAGGTGTCAAATAGCAAACTTTATCATGCCCTACCAAATCTCAAATTATATCATTATCAATTCTTTATTAAGAAATCGGCATCCTAAGTGAAATTCAATAGATGAGCAATTAGAAATTTACTGATCATATTTGGCTAATTAATGACTAATAACTGATTTTAGATCATACGTTCTGAAAAGAAAAACATTTTAGGAACATAGAGTTCTGAAAAAGCATTTCTGTTATTGTATATCGGACTAGTCAGTTTCATTTGGACTATGAATTAATTTGTCTAAAAAGAATTTTGCTTCCACAAATTTCTAGCATATTTGTTCATAGAGCAACAAGTATTTTTTTTTACTTAAAAAAATCCGAGTGAACCTCTGATTATGTAACCAAGCAACCTGTTCTTCTGCTGAACACATTTTTCATCTTTTTCGGACTATTGATATTATTGATGGTTTTGGCATAATAATGATCTTTATCTACCTTCCATAAAAAAAATGATCTTTATCTACCATTAGGTTTCCAAGAAGTGTTTCGGACTTCACCAAAATACAGATTCAAGGACCTACTCAAGTTTGCAGTGTTGCAAAACAACCATTATCAGGTACAAAGTCGCCACTGTAAGTTCCCTAGTTCTCGGGGATGTAGAATCAACCAAAAATAATAATAATAAAATAAATCAAAACTCAAATACTAAAATCTCATAGTAATGTTTTTCCTCCAAGAATCACTAAATTATTTTGACATGCATAATTTTTAACACTCTACTACTCATGCTTTTAAACATACTGCAACAGGAATAATGAAAAAGGGTGACATGTCACTAATTTAACATCTTTTATACCACTTCTGTATGCCACACAGAATTTCATACTGTATATATAAAAAATGAAATTAGCATGAGTCATGGGAAGAGTATTAAGTTACTAGTGTTACTAACATATCTGTAGGAGGCAAATTACATAGTCTCGCATAAAGTTCTACACTAAACAGTTCCTTTCAAAGTAAAATGTTATTTCGGTATCCAAACTACAAAAGTCTTCCAATGTGTTGATTCGATGATCTACCAAAGAAACTTGAACATTTTCATGGTATTTTTGTTTTTGATTAGCCATATCAGCAAGTGTTGCGATTCTACAGTTAACATGTATAGCTTATCCATGATTCAGGAGCACTGGACTTTAGAGAACAGAAAAGTCTGAACATTGAAGAACTGTTGGAGCTTTGCATCCGTACTCAAGAGAGTTGCTCAGGATTCAGAAGGTTTGAATTCTTCCAGATTATTGATGCTACAGACAATTTCTCAGAAAGTAGAAACATCGGGTGGGGTGGTTTTGCTACAGTTTACAAGGTAATTATAACCCAAAACAGGAATTAACTAATGGAGTGATTGCTTATCCTTTGTCTTTCAAATGTGGCGCTATTTTTGTATTCTTGAAATGTTGTTTAAAGTAGATCTAATTAATCATTGCAGGGTCAGTTGCCTGATGGATCCATGATTGCCATCAAAAGGATGGATGAACATGCTACAGTGTTTGATTTCAGCAGTGAATTTCTGCTTGCGAGGCTTCAGCATACCAATCTAGTTAGGCTATTGGGGTGGTGCATCCATGGGAAAGAAAGAATTCTGGTGTATGAGCTCATGCACAAAGGTGGCCTGCACCAATGCATCTTTGGTATGTTTTCCTATAACCAAAGTTATTCTTCAAAACATACTTCACTTGATTCCTTTCATTATCTCTAAAACCATTCTGATCAAATGAAAGACTTGAATAACTCCAATTTTAGTTAATTCCTTCTTGCCTCAGCTGATCTGAATTTATTGTCGTTTGATTCAGAATAGCTTAAAATTGTAAACAAAAGGATTCTTAATATGCTTGTTGCCTTAACATTTTGCAGACAAAGTAAAGGGGCCATTGCTTGACTGGTCTAAGCGACTTAATATAATTAAAGGATTAGCAGAGGGACTTGTTTACTTACACAAGCACTCCAAGTTTTGCATTGTCCATAGGGACCTGAAACCCGAAAATGTACTCCTGGATCATGGCATGAACCCAAAGATTTCAGATTTCGGATCAGCTGTAACTCTGAGTTCAGATGCATCAGAAGGGCATACAAGTAGGGTTGTGGGAACTTGGTAAGCAATTCACAACATTGATTGTAACAGGACTATGTGCAAAACAATTTTGTTCTTGTGCACTGATGCCACTCTCCTGATTGTTTGTTCAGTGGTTACAAAGCTCCAGAGTATGCATCTCGAGGCATTTATTCAGTCAGGTCTGATGTTTTTAGCTTTGGGGTGTTGGCTTTAGTGGTCATCAGTGGGCGAAAGAATATCATACTGGAGCATCAAGGAGACACTGTTGGTAACCTCGTAAGAGATGTGAGTGATCCAACTTCTGAAATGTTGAATATTTGCTTAGTTTCATCCTCTCCATATTTATTTCAAAACCGGGCATACATATGTGAGTTTGGATTTACACTATAAAATCTTTGCTGACAGCTAAACATGTGTTTCAGGCATGGCAGTTGTGGCATGATGGAAGGCTACATGAGCTTGTAGATCCAATATTAGGTGATGGATTTGAACTTGCTGAGGTAAAGCAGTACGCTCAGGTGGCACTACTCTGCACTCAGGAAGATCCAGCAGATCGCCCCACCATGTCAGACGTTACTGCACTCCTAAACTTTGAAAGCATAAGCCTATTGCCGGATCCTAAGCAGCCATCTGAGCTGAACAATGGTGGTGCTACTGGTGACAAATTATCGACGTATGTTCATCAATCAAGTAGAACCATAAACATAACCATCACAAGCTCAGCTCCAGTATCAACTAGGGTCTGCATCATTGTGGAGCCAGAGACTTGAAATGTTCAAAATGATTTTAAAAACAGAGAATCCAGAATGTTTTCTCTTTGTGTAAATGATTTGTTTTGAACGAAATCTTTGTGGAAATAACATTATTTATTACTTTGAGAATATTACAGTATTTTGTTTTACTTCACCTCGATCGAGGCTCTGCTAGAGCTCGTTTTGGTGTTTGCCTTGTCTTTTTGCTTTTTTAAAAGGATTAAAATTGGCAAGCTAAGACTCTTTTTTTTTCACCAATGCGTCTGAGCGTGTATTTCATTACGAAGAGAGCAAGCACGATTTTTTAGCAGCCTAGGAACAGGAACATGGCTCACGTTCCCGTTCCCATGTTCCACATTTCAGGAACGTCTGTGTTTCAGGAACGGAACGTTCCGTTTCCATGTTATAAAATGATAACCAAAGTTTCGTTCCGGAAACGGAAACGGGAACAGGAACATGGCTGCTAAGAACACGACCACAAGATTCAAAACGAGCTCAGCCTCTTGTCAACAGGGAAAAAACTGATCTCAACTCCACACTTAGGCTTCGTTCGGTTATACGGAATCGATTCCTGCCCTCGTTGTTTCTTCGTTATTTTCTACATGTGCGGAACCATTCCCGGTCAGGAAGGACCGGGAACGTCGTAACCGAACGGGCCCTTAGGCTGCGTTCGGTTATTCTGAATTTGGTCCGGGGACTACTCCAGTCCATCAAAAGTATACAGATTACTGAACCAATTCCACCTGAAATCGTTCCGGGCACTCAATCCATGACAAACGAACGTGCCCTTAGTCAAAGTCGACGTCCACACTAACCTACTCACCTAGACCATATAATTGGGTTTGTCAATAGCGGCGACCAGGTCCGGGCAGAAGAGGCGGTGGTGAGCACGGCAGGAAGCGGCCATGGCAGGCCTCTTGGACAGCTCGAGCGGCCTGTGGACCGTGCTCGGGCAGGCCTCGAACGTGGCGCAGCTGGTCGGCGTCGACGCGCTCGGGCTGGTGTCCATGGTCGTGCAGGCCGCGTTGGCTGCGCGCCGCCACCGCGACGCGTGCCGGCGCCTGGCGCAGCACGTGGAGGTCGTCGGCGGCCTGCTGCAGGAGCTGGAGGTCGCCGAGCTGATGCGGCGGGAGGTCACGCGGCGGCCGCTCGAGCAGCTCCAGGTCGCACTGCGACGGTGCTACGCGCTCGTCACGGCGTGCCAGGACTGTGGGTACCTCCGCAGCCTGTTCCTCGGCGCCCGGATGGCCGACGAGCTCCGCGCTGCGGAGAAGGAGATCGACATGTTCATCCGCTTAGTCCCACTTATCGCCCTCGTCGACAGTACGCATGATCGCAATGCCAAGGTATGCGTGTTTTACCTTGCTGATTAGTACGTACTACTTATGAGGTGGCTTCTTGATTTGGTACTTCAGTTCATATCTTGTATGTATGAGGTCAAGAAGAAGAACTGATTTGAAGGAGATTATTTTGACCTCTCTGTAATCCCATCCCAAATTCTCCTTTCAGTTGACCCTAGGAAGTAGGAATTATGCGTGTGAATTTGAGTCCAATAGTCGTTGCATATGCAAATGAAACAGTTTTATATTAACTGCTATAGTTCTCAACTGATCAAATGGCTTACTGTTCAATCACTCTCAATTGTACATCTGTAGCATTTGTAAATTTTAACTGTTCCGTTCGTCAAGTTTTCTTTCTATCGTTGTCCAGCAGATTGCCGAGGGAGAACCAGGTCTAATCACGAATGGTTCAAACCATCATGTCAGGTGAGATTATTTTTAATGTAGTGGATAATACTCAGCAAGTGATTGCTCAGGTATCAAATAGCAAACTTTATCATGCCCTACAAAATCTCAAATTATATCATTATCAATTCTTTATTAAGAAATCGGCATCCTAAAGTGAAATTCAATAGATGAGCAATTAGAAATTTACTGATCATATTTGGTTAATTAATGACTAATAACTGATTTTAGATCATACGTTCTGAAAAGAAAAACATTTTTGGAGCATAGAGTTCTGAAAAAGCATTTCTGTTATTGTATATCAGACTAGTCAGTTTCATTTGGACTATGAATTAATTTGTCTAAAAAGAATTTTGCTTCCACAAATTTCTAGCATATTTGTTCATAGAGCAACAAGTATTTTTTTACTTAAAAAAATCCGAGTGAACCTCTAATTATGTAACCAAGCAACCTGTTCTTCTGCTGAACACATTTTTCATCTTTTTCGGACTATTGATATTATTGATGGTTTTGGCATAATGATCTTTATCTACCTTCCATTGAAAAAATGATCTTTATCTACCATTAGGTTTCCAAGAAGTGTTTCGGACTTCACCAAAATACAGATTCAAGGAGCTACTCAAGTTTGCAGTGTTGCAAAACAACCATTATCAGGTAGAAAGTCGCCACTGTAAGTTTCCTAGTTCTCGGGGATGTAGAATCAACCAAAAATAATAATAATAAAATAAATCAAAACTCAAATACTAAAATCTCATAGTAATGTTTTTTCTCCAAGAATCACTAAATTATTTTGGCATGCATAATTTTTAATACTCTACTACTGATGCTTTTAAACATACTGCAACAGGAATAATGAAAAAGGGTGACATGTCACTAATTTAACATCTTTTATACCACTTCTGTATGCCACACAGAATTTCATACTGTATATATAAAAAATGAAATTAGCATGAGTCATGGGAAGAGTATTAAGTTACTAGTGTTACTAACATATCTGTAAGAGGCAAATTACATAGTCTTGCATAAAGTTCTACACTAAACAGTTCCTTTCAAAGTAAAATGTTATTTCGGTATCCAAACTACAAAAGTCTTCCAATGTGTTGATTCAATGATCTACCAAAGAAACTTGAACATTTTCATGGTATTTTTGTTTTTGATTAGCCATATCAGCAAGTGTTGCGATTCTACAGTTAACATGGATAGCTTATCCATGATTCAGGAGCTCTGGACTTTAGAGAACAGAAAAGTCTGAACATTGAAGAACTGTTGGACCTTTGCTTCCGTACTCAAGAGAGTTGCTCAGGATTCAGAAGGTTTGAATTCTTCCAGATTATTGATGCTACAGACAATTTCTCAGAAAGTAGAACCATCGGGTGGGGTGGTTTTGCTACAGTTTACAAGGTAATTATAACCCAAAACAGGAATTAACTAATGGAGTGATTGCTTATCCTTTGTCTTTCAAATGTGGCGCTATTTTTGTATTCTTGAAATGTTGTTTAAAGTAGATCTAATTAATCATTGCAGGGTCAGTTGCCTGATGGATCCATGATTGCCATCAAAAGGATGGATGAACACGCTACAGTGTATGATTTCAGCACTGAATTTCTGCTTGCGAGGCTTCAGCATACCAATCTAATTAGATTTTTGGGGTGGTGTATCCATGGGAAAGAAAGGATTCTATTGTATGAGCTCATGCACAAGGGTAGCCTGCGCCGTTTCATCTTTGGTACACTTCCCTATGACCTGTTATTTTCACAGTATGTTTCGATATAGTTCCTCCATTTGTTTTTTCTAACATGAGTCATAACTGGTAGGAGCTCTTCCTATCGATTAAGAAGGGAAACAAAGTTTAAACATCTTTATATACATAATACACCGGTGGGCATGGCCAGTCCCAAAACTCCACAGGAGCACCACATAATTCACCTGGCAAGATTTTTACACAACACAAAATTGCACACAAAGCAAGATTTACAGGTTGAGATCAACCGCAATGAATTAAATGCCCTCTTACACTACTCAATGTCTTCCTCAACTCTGGATGCCACTTGCTGCACTGTTTGGAATTATTTTCAAATATATGCCTATTGCACTCTTTACAAAGATTTCACTCTTGTTTCACTTTATTCTTGGTTTTAGATCATAGTTGATCTGAAGCTATTCTCATTTTGGTTTGTAGTTGTGTAAACCATAATTTCATTTTAAACTGAATCACAATTGTTCTTTTGCACATTTTTCAGACAAAAGAATGGGGTCCTTGCTAGACTGGTCTAAGCGAATCAATATAATCAAAGGGTTAGCTGAAGGGCTTGTTTACCTTCACAAACAGTCCAAGTTATGGATTGTCCATAGGGATTTGAAACCCAAGAACATCCTGTTAGATCATGACATGAACCCAAAGATTGCTGGTTTTGGATCAGCTAGAACTCTGAGTTCAGATTTCGCTGAAGAGTGTACAAGCAGGGTTGTGGGGACTAGGTAAGATACACATAATTTCAATTCTAGGCTTCTGCAACAATAGTGTTCCAATGTGTTAATGTCTCTCTTTTGGTGTTTATGAAGTGGCTACAAAGCTCCTGAGTACACGTCTCGAGGTGTATATTCACTAAAGACAGATGTGTTTAGCTTTGGGGTGATGGTTTTAGTGACCATCAGTGGGCGAAAGAATATCATAATGGAGAAGCAAGGAGATTCTGTTGGTACCCTTGTACGAGATGTGAGTAAACATGACATTTTAATAGAGGCCATTCAAAATGTTGAATATTTGCAGTTGTTTTGTCCTCTGCATATTTGTACCAAAACTTTCTCCACTGTTTATGAATCTGTATTTACACTACAATATTGTTGGCCCTAAAGAAATTGAAGAAAATATTTCAGGCATGGCAACTATGGAACGATGGAAGGCTACATGAGCTTGTCGATCCAATATTGGGTGATGAATTTGAACTTGCTGAGGTAATGCAGTATGCTCAAGTGGCACTACTCTGCGCTCAGGAGGAACCAACAGATCGCCCAACCATGTTGGATGTTGTGTCACTCTTGAACTTTCAAAGCATAAGTTTATTACCAGATCCTAAGCAGCCATCAGAGCTGTAGAAGCGAGGTGCTACTGGTGACAAGTTACCGACATATGTTAGCCAGTCAAGCAGGACCATAGACATAACAATCACAAGTTCAGCACCTATGTCAACGAGGGTCCGCATCATTGTAGACCCAGAGACCTAAAAAATGTAGACACATAAATATATAACAGAACATGGAGAACTTGAAATG